CAGGAATGGTTGAAGCCAGTTCTCTTTGTGTACCACGAAGACTGCTACGACTTAATTACTAAATAGCCTTAAGTGGTAAGGACATTATTTATGTTGTAGAATATTGCCAAGGCATTGACTTGCATCTTGATATTCTTTTGGCAGAGAGGAATACTGTGATTTTAAAATCCTGCCTTACTAGAAAGTGCAAAAGCTAGGCAGCTCTTTTCAGTTTAATAATGTTAAAACTCAACCAAATACTACAAAGCCTCTGTCCCTTACCCTTGGGCTGAGCCTGATGTTCTGATTTGACTAAAACAGAACCAATTCTGTTCAGTGATTTTACGCAGAACAAGAAGCTCGAGGGCCGCGTCTCCATTGCTCAGGCACTGAGTGGCTGGTGCCCAGAGAAACAATTAAGATTTAGCCTGTCACATCTCATTTATCCAGTTTTAGAGTAAAATTGCTTCAAACTTAGCATCCTGAGATATTCTTTCTCCGCCAACAGCAATATTTGCTTTTACCCTTGGGCTGATGTTTTAAAGCTTGTAATGTACTGCTTGTTATAAATCGTTGAATAAAGTATTTCAGTTCCTTTCTGTTTCAGTGAAATCAAACATACTTCCAGGTTCAAGAATGCAATTTCACCTTCATTCCCTTTGGGATGAATCACTACTACGGCACACAAACACCACATGCATGAATATCCTGCCAGTGCTCAGCTCCCTAAAAATTAGACTTAGCCCACACCCCAATCATTCCTATATGAACACTGCGACCGGCTGTCTCCAGGAAGCACATTGTGTTTTAGGGGAACTCCAGTGAAAATATGGATTTTTGCAGCAGTTATAAAAGTCCATTGTTGAAAAGAAGAAGGTTTTCAAACCCAGTGCTCCACAGTAATTTAGTTGACTATAAACACCAGGGGTGAAATAACGACCTTCGAGAGTTAATGACAGTTAAAGCAATGACCTAAGAAGGGGCACGACCTCTCTTCAGGCATCTACCAGCAGTGAAAGATGTGAGAAGCCACATCTAATACGGCTCCTGACAGTATCTCAGCACGAGCTAATAAACTTTTGCCACAACCACACATTAATAAGGACATTTGCCATGTCTTGCAGCCATCTGTGAATATTCTTTCCCCATCTTTGCATCATACAGTGAGCATTAGTTGACTGATGCTTCTTTATTTAGAGCTGACTTCTGAACCTAAAAGTTCAAAAAGCTGCATTGCAGAGGAGCTTGCAGAGGGCTTCCAGTATGGATTACTGCTCGTTTCAAGCCACTTTGGCAGAGCTTTAGGCCAGGAAAGAAATGGGATCCCATGAGTGTTCTCCTTACCCCCTACCATGACAAGCAATACCTTGAGATCCTACTGGGAGCACCAGAAAAGCCACAGAGATACTGAACCTGGGCCCCACAATACCACCAGTCACACGTTCATCAAAGCTTTGCTGACACTCACGGAGTAGAAACTGTCAACTCTTTAAAAAACAAGATCCCATGGAACTAAGTCAAAGGTGTTTTCATTCCACCTTTTCTTTAAGCCAACAATCACATGGGTGTCACTTGCAGAAATGAGGCTTAAAGTTCATCTCCTCACTGGCTGGTAGATATACAAATGGGCTAAAAATGTCGCTTTTATGGGAGAAATCCAGGCACTCAGCTGTTCCACCTTCTTATTCACCAGCAAATAACTCCCCCAGAGAAGAAAACCATGAAGCATGTCACAAGAAGCCTTATGGTCACAGACGTGCTGCTTCCACCTCACCTGCACAAAAAGCCCACTTGATCTGAATCCCCTTTTCTCCAGAATTTCATCTGATCTATTTTTTCTTCTATCTTAATTTGCAATAAAACATATTTTCACTATCTTAACATTTTTCAAAGTAAAGAAATTGCATATCCTGGTCATCTAGTACTAGATAGATTTTTCAGGCAAATCAGAAGAATTATTCATTAGTGGATTTATGACACACAGACGCACACAACAAACATACAAACAAACCATGAATCAAAGAAAATTATTATAGCTACAGTGAACATGGATATATTGTCTTCTACTGTCATCCTTTCTGCTTGCTACAATATGCCAATGCAATTTTTATTTCAGATTATCTGAAAGAAGACAGGCAAAAAGAACTGTCGTACCTAAACATGAACACATCCTGCTGCTTTTCTTAAGGAACAACAGTGAGAGATATTCAAAGATTCTCAGTTGGAAAGGCATTCACTTCCTGCTGTGCTATCACTATGAATTTATCCTTTGCACCTACCCACTGAAGTGAAAATGAATTCATACAGAAACCTCATGTAAATAAACTTCAGAAAGCAACACCAGAATGCTCTCGGGGAGCATCTGGTCATTGAACTTGGTGGTCCTGTTAATGAAACCAAAACACAACAGAAAAATGGTTACAAATAAATGCACTGTTCAACCACGTGAAAAATGTTTTCCATTGCCACAGCAGATACCAAATGAAACAAGAGAACATAGAGCCACTTTGATTAGTTATTCAAATTACCTAAGCGAAGGCTTTTCGTTCTGCAAACTTCTTCTTGAAACTTTCTTCCTGAAAATCAGCTCAACAACAACAACAAAAAAAGTAAAGTCAATGAAGCATAAAAATTTTCACCAAAGAGATACAGACTCTGGTCCATCAGAAAAAAATACCAGAGGATAAACCATGCAAATCAGTTCTGTAATCCTGATTAGAAAAATACGCGGGGCTTATACCAACCTCAAGAACACCAAAAAGATAACAATCATGTGTTTTAAGGTCTGCTTCTGTTCTTACATCTGGAGAAAGCTGTGAACAAACAGCAGCAGAAACGCCAGCAAAGATGAGAAGATTCATCACCACGTACGATCAGAAAGAAAGCTGGGCTCATTCTGAGATTATTTAAAACAAAGGAGGGGAATGAGAAAATAGAAAAAGCACCAAAAACCTTAAAACTTTGCTCAGGAGTGAAGATTTCTGTTCCTATCCTTCGTAGTGCTCATCTCCAAACCTGATGTCAGCTGAAGTAGGCTGTGCTGTCTCCTCCTAGGAGCTGTGCAGGCAGGGATCTCCACCACCTCTCTCCGAGCCAACATGTATTTGTAGCTCTGCGACTCCCCGCACTGCCAAACGGCTTAAAAAACCCCATGGGTTGAGCTAGAAGCACTGTGGCGTTATCCAGATGGAGCATGACACCTCAAAATCCAAGTCCTGCGTAGCTTGGGAGGTGTGAGGAATGTGTCCTCCTTGCTATCCACCCACTCATCATGGGAGAAGGAGTGAGACGTAGCAATCTTGTGCTCCCCAGACAGCAAACTACCCCAGGCATGGTTCAGATTTTCATCCAGCCCCTCAAGAGAGGAGATTTCCTTGAATTATGGTGGAAAATGGGCTAGGTGGGGAATAGGTGGCCAGCCCGTGTGCCAGAAGACCAGCTCAATCAACAACTGCACCTCAGCAGCTCTTCCCAGCACAGATCAAGGGCAAATAAGGACTGAGCGAGGGTATTTGATGCCGTTTAGTTCTCTCTGACGCATCTGATGTGCGCAGTGTTTGTCTCTGCGCTGGGTGCACATCACATCTGTCTCCCAAGCTCCTTCCCATTCTACGTCTGCTTTTGCAGAAAACGAGCCTTCTGTGTGTTGTGCTGCTTAGGAGTGGAGCTCTCTTCGATTAAGCCTTTTTAACACACAGGGAATGCTCTATTTATTTTTTCCCCTCTCTTTTTAAAAACAATTTGGTTTTTTTGGTGTTTTTTTTTTTTTT